GGGGGCGGCGCCCCGGGAGGCCGCCCGCTGCCCGTCCCCGGACTGCGGGCAGTGCCCGGTTGAGGAACGGCGCGTTGCCAACTGATTAAAGGCAGCGTTAAAAGTGCGATGGTCTCAGCGCAGGGTTAGCGCTGGCGTTCCCTCGTTTGGAATGCTTAAATTGTTGTATAGGTGACAGCTGATCCGCTTTGTCGTGCGCCATCTAATGAAATCGCGGCCGAGTCAGGTCAACAGGCGCTTCGTAGGGACTCCGCGGCAATAGGCTCATCTCTGGTGTGTCATATGCGACGTGTTGTGCGCAGACATCGTATTCTTTAATTCGGTGTTTCCCACAGTCTGCTGCGAGCCATTAACAAATCTTCACAAACTCGTTCAGCTTCTGCGTTCACCTGAGCGCACCGCACGGTTGTGTGCAGCCTTCTGTACCTGTAAGTGCAGAACTTCCCCAGCCCAAAAACCCGGATCTTCATGTCACGGTTTTGGAGACGAGTTAGTGCTGTTTTCACGTATTATTTTTTTTAAATCTCCTTTTATTTACCAAAATTTACTTGGTTGGTTTTCTCATTAAGTCCTGGCTTAATTTAACCTGCACTTAAGTTGAGGGGAAGCGCTCTTTTCACGTGGCTCTGTGGAAATTAGTGGATGTTAAAATACTGAAGCATATAGTATTGTGATTAAGCCATGCTCAAGGAATTATGAATATAAATGTATAGAGGTATGAATATAAATAGTTTATGAATTGATATAGTAGATAAACAGGCATGGATTTTTTTTTCCTTTGATGGTTACAGTTGTAGGCTAGTTTATCCATTCATTTAATATTCATTTATTCAATTCTGTGTTTAGTAGAGCAAAGAAAAAAATCAGCGTTCTCAAGGTATTTTGTGTATGTAACTGCTTGTGTGTGGTATCCCGGGGGTGACCCGTGTGTTTTCCAGAGGTGCTGCTGGAGGGTGCGGGGTCCCAGGCAGGGCTGGGCACCGGCACAGGCAGGGGCTGCTGTGGAGGGAGCAGCAGCAGTAACTGGGCTGACTGCAGTTCAAATCACTCAAGAAATTCCCTTTTCAAACAAACGGCTTGGAAATCTTGCTGTATCTCTGCTTTCAGGCTGGCGGCTTAATCCTCAGGGGTATAGAAATGAACTCAGGCTTTCTGAAGAAACTAGTGTGGGCTTAATGCCCGCACTGGCCCTTCCCTGGCAACTGTAGTCACTCAGTTGTCCCCGCAGGTCCCGAGAGGCTCAGCGGGAGGGAGCCCCCGTGTCCAGTCCCAGCGTGGCTTTGTTGCGGCGGGCGAGCTGAGGTCACTCGTCGCCAGTCCAACGCCCTCCGTGCAGCACGTCCCCCGCCGCTGCGCTCGCGCCGCAGGAGCTGAGAGGCAGAAGTGTAGTGTCCCCGCCGGAGAAGGAGTGAGGCCGTTCCCTGAACATCCTTGCAGCATCATGACTCTCCAGGTAAGCAGTTCCGCATCTGGTGAGACAGAGAGGCAAGGAGAGGAGAGGGAGGGATGCACTGTCCGTCTGTGCAATGCCGTGTCAGGGACAGCGGTATTTCTTCAGCGTAAGGATTATTACTGCAAAATCAAGGTTACCTTGTGGCATGGGAAATTTGCGTAAGCCTTTGGAGGTTAAATAATGTATTACTTTTCGCAAGTGGAGAGTGAGAAACATGCTGCTTATTTTGAACTATTCATAGGTCATGTAATTTTTTGGAGCCTTACCTGCTTAGAGCATGTGTGAATTATTTTTCTTTACATGTGCGTCTGAGTTTGCTAGGACTGGATTATGCATTGAAAGGTAGGTATGTATTTATTCTTTTAGGATCTAGCTAGTTACTTGGAGCTATAAGAGGAGGAGGGAAACTTGTGACACTGAAGCAGTGGTATATGTGCATTTGGGTAGCATGACTATTTTTTAAGGGACTTGTGCATATCTTTTTTTAAGGTGTACGCATCTTTGGAGTGGTACATTTTGATGTGCTTGTGTTTTGGTAGGAAAGCTTCTACTTTCTTCCTTCTACCTTCTCTCTGACTATAGATTTAAATAGTTCTTGAGGAAATTACCTTCATTGCTGGCTTTTAGCCTCCTACCTTTGTAGCAAACTATGAATACATCCCTTGTCTTGCCCATGCCCTGATGGATTAGGCTGTTTTTCTTCATTAGGCTTTCTATTATCCCTTTCACTTCAAGATTTGCGAGCCCTTTTATCCCGGTCTCATTATAATGTCTGTCTCAGCTTGGTTAGTGTGCGTGTTTTGCAAAGAGTGAGCAACATAATGCTCTGACCTAGATGCAGGGAGTGTATTGCCAGTAGCTCAGCAATTTTCTTCTGAGCTGCAGTTATGTCGAACAGCACAGAGGTTTCATTGTGGTGTTTTACAGCTAAGAGGAAGAATCCTATTTCTTCAGTCGGTCAGAACTGCCAAATCCCAAACATAACACCACCTTTGTTTAATTAGAGATCACTGAAATTATAGTTTGTTTTATTCTACCTTGAACTCACTCTAGAAAATAAATTTATTAGCCTGATGATTAAGCTGAAAGAGCTGAGTGCAATATGATATATCATTGCTGTATACAGTTACACTTTCATACAAAAATCAGTGGTTGAAATATTATGATATCCTACACATTCTGCATTAGACATGATAGAGGTTTTCTATCCACTATTGTTTTGGTCGATAGCTACCATCCATGTCCAAAAAAATCATTGAATCAGTCTGTATGGAATGAGGACAAAATGAATAAAATAATGCTTTCATCAGGGAGCCTGTAAAGGACTTGAAAGTTTTGCAAACTGGTAAAATATTCTGCTGTAGATGAAGAATTCATTCAAGCTTTTTTCTTTGCAAAAAGGGAGTATGTGATAACAGTCTGGTGATTTGTGCATTTATCTTTAATGCGTGTGTATGTTTATGTCTGTATATATACTGATGCTTTTAATTTGAGGAGTTAAAGGCAATTTTATCGGCATGCGATTAAAAGGAAATTATATTTTTATAGGCCGCTCCTAAGCATGTTGTGTAAGCAAGCAAATCCTAAGCAACAGTCTGTGCACAATGATTGCTAGAGGGAGATGAGGAAAGAAATATTTAGTATTTAAATTTCATTTCTGCATATTTCTTGCTGTGCAAGGTATGCATTTGTGTGTTTTTAAAACAGTTATCTTATGATACTTGCCTATAGAACCAAATAGAAAAAAAGTATGTGAAGATAAGAAGCTTATTAACTTAATGGTTTCCTTTCTTAATTTATTTTTTCTGAGTTATCTTTTGTCTTGTACGAGTCTAACAACGCTTCAAATTAATTCTTACTGTGAAGTTTAGATCAGAAAACAATTCAAGGCATGTGGAACATTTCCACTGACTTGAATGGTCCTTGTACGCCAATGCTGGCAGAGGCTCACATGCAGCAGTGGCCACAGTATAAAGATGAAGATAAAACTTATTTAAACTTTAACTGATTGTGGCAGCTCAGTTATGTTTTATTATTGACACCGCTTCCTAATCTTACTGTTAACCGAGCATGAATGCTGCATTTGTTTGTACGTGTATGGGTAATATGAAGAGATGTCTGTGATGTAGGAGTCAGTGATAGGTATAGTCAAGAATGTCACATTTCTGGTGTTTGGATTAAGGATGAAATATTTTTAATAAAACTTTACGTATAAAAGAAATCTTAAGAGTGGAGGGCCATCACATTTGTGTTTGTAAACAAACGTACATCCCTTTTATACATCTGTACCAACAGTGTGAGTGTAAATGCTTTGCTTTTAGGAGTGTCAAAGACGTACAGTTCTGGTTTCTTTCGCACACTATTTTTAATTCAGTGATAAGTTAGTTGCGTTGCTGATTTTGTTTCCCCTCATTGAGCGCTTCTCCATCATAAGTGCTATTCATCTATTAAAAATACTGTTGTTAGTGCATATGTGTACATGTATTTTTGCGTAATTAGACTACAGTTTTGGTACCTGAGTACAAAACTCCTTTGTGTCCTAATGCTGTGGTGTCTGAAACACTGTGCAGCAGCGCAGCATGTCTGGAGTGACGCTGGGGTAAGCCGGGATGTAAAATCAGAGCATGTGAGTTCTTCTGCAGTAAGAGCCCGTGTCCTTGCTGCTGCCCTGAGGTGAGCACAAAGTGGACCAGGCCTCTTTTCATGGAGGGGTAAGCTACTTATCTGTCAAGGTATATAGGGAGGTAAAAAGTCATATGAACGCTCTCACGAGTACTGTGAGTTCAGACTCCTGTCTAAAGCAACGTGTCCACCGCGCTGGTGCTCCCAGGCTGAAGGTGACCGCGCTATGCCTAAGGCACAGGGCAGTGCTCTCGTGCCCTAAAGCCCAGAGTTCTCTCCCTGTGCTGTTGGCGACTTGCTGGCCTCAAACGTCTATGTTCTCCTTTCTGGTTTTGCTTCTGAAAGGAAGGATGGTGATATTTACTTACTTTCTATGGCCCTGGGCAATTTTTGGTGACAAATTAAAAATTAGTTTAATATCTGAAGTCGCAGAAGCATTGCAGGCGGTTGTAGGAAATTCAGGTACAGTTACGCTACAGAAGGAGAACAAGAGAAAGTACTGCATAAGAAGAAAAATAAAGATTGCAAGGCTTTCATGAAAGCAAATATTAATATTACAAATACTAGGAATTCCTCCTAGTGAGGACTTTATTATATTGCTTGGAAGAAGCACACATCAACCATGGACTGTGATTAATAACTAAAGCACTGTTCTGTTCTTTTATGGCCACAGAGACTTCTCTTTTGAACGTCCAGGATAAACCAAGGATTGAATGATGCATGATGCAAAATGTTTTTGTTTGCACCTAAGCTAGAAGCTATCAAAGCTATAATTTCTGGAGAAAGAATTGATTTCTCTAATCAAATTTGAGATTAGGATTTTCTTGTTTGTAAGGATTTTTCTTTTATGGCATCAAGAACAAGTAGATGTAGAGACTATACCATTTTCACATTAGCCTAACGACTGATCCTAAGGGAAATACTGTTACAACTTGTGCTGTAAACTTTGTAAAGTCCAATGAAATTCTAATGACAAAGTTTACGGAGTCATTAGCAAGAGTTTATACCGTTCTTTACTTAATTGCTGTTCGGCAGATTTAGTATTTAGAGAAAAAATTAAAATATCTGAAATACCTGTCTGTAGCCACAGCTATTGCAACCGTGGCAGTC